CTACCAGCGGTATTTGAGAGTTCTGGTTGTTCCAAACTCTGAACACTTGATCTATCTCTGGTTTGTGTCCTTTACTCAGATTCTCCAGGTACCTAGAATGGCCTTTCCCAAGTCTCTCCTTTTACGGCTCACTCTTCCGGCAAGCCCAGCTCGAGCATCATCTGTTCATTAGCCTCCCCGCCTTACTCTTTCAGGTAGAATTTGTTGCTGTGTCTTCTGCAGTGTAAATATTAATACATTACAGCCTCGCCCACGCTCTGCCTCACAGCAGTGAGTGAGCACTCTGACTCTCCACCTGGATAATAAGCTTTTTAAGAGCAGAGGCTGCACCTCACTTCTTTCAGAGTCTCCCTAGCCATAACCCTTTCACATTATAGGTGCTTCATGAATATTTCTTTTGCTGACTTTATCACAGAGAAAATATTTTAAAAATAGATTTTTGGTAAATGACTATTCAACCAGGCAGTGAAATGTCACAGTTTTTCTGTATGAAGAATGCGTAATTGTTTCCAGTGTAACCTACTTACTGATTTTAATTAATTTAATCTTTTTTCAACTCCTTGATGTGGGACTCATGATTTAGCTTGGGAACTCTCTTTTTCGGGGAAAATAAGAGCCTTTTTTCTGATTCTGGGAGAGCATGTGATCACTTTTTGTCATCCTCGCATAAAGCAGATTTTCTTTTTTTTTTTTTTTTTGAGACGGAGTCTCGCTCTGTCACCCAGGCTGGAGTGCAGTGGCCGGATCTCAGCTCACAGCAAGCTCCGCCTCCCGGGTTCACACCATTCTCCTGCCTCAGCCTCCCGAGTAGCTGGGACTACAGGCGCCCGCCACCTCGTCCGGCTAGTGTTTTGTATTTTTTAGTAGAGACGGGGTTTCACCGTGTTAGGCAGGATCCTCTCGATCTCCTGACCTAGTGATCCGCCCGTCTCGGCCTCCCAAAGTGCTGGGATTACAGGCTTGAGCCACCGTGCCAGGCCAAAGCAGATTATCATGGCACAATTTAAGAAGGAATTGCTTCCAAAGAGCCAGATTCCTAAGGGAAGATTGGAGTGAGTGATGGCAAACCATATAGCTTTTTAGCCTACCTGAGAAGTGGAACTGTACTCTTCTGTACTTTACGAAATGGAGTCAGGAGAAATGAAGAGACTCAGTGGTAGCCTTGGAATCCTTAACATTTAATTAGTGTGAGGGTAAAGCAGGTCTGGTGCCAAGGAGACCTGCTCTCTCAAACCATCCTGTGAGACCACAGAGTGGTGTGACCAGATTGTATCAGCAGCCTCTAGTGTCATTCCAGAGCACAGTGGGCGGTCATGGTACTTTTGAACAGGAAAGCTTTAACTAAGGGTTTGAAAAAATGATGTGTACAGAAGCATTTTATAAAAAATTAAAATGTTTAAATGAAGTGATTCAGCCCACAGTGGGGAAGAGCAAGGAAAAACTGGAACCCATGGGCACCTCTGCATCTTTCTGTCACCCCCTCTCACTAACGCCAGGCTTCATAATGTTAGGGCTGCTGCTTCAACTTCACTTCCCACATCTTTCACAGCCTCATTTTGGACCAGTTCTGACTTTTGTCTATGGAAACACGCAAGGAAGGGACTCTGGGCAATGCAGTTCCCTGTGGAAGCAAGTTGTCAGTAGAGCATTCCAGAACACACACTCATAGACAGGAGAGCCTGGAAGGAGGAAAGAAAGAATATTTTCCCCAGTATCCAGTGCCTGTTGTGTTGTCTGTGCTGGTTTTTGCTGTTTATCATTGAACACTGATAACAGTCTTACGAATGAGAGATTTCTCAGGGATTCACAGCTAACTAGCAAGATTTAGAGTTTGGATTTTTAGCTATGTCTGTATGAGCTCAAAGCTAATGTTCATTTTAATGGACTCTGCTGTTTTCCATGGAAAGCAAGACCTAATGGTTTTCCTGTTTGTTTGTTTGTTTGTTTGGATTAGGAAATAAAAACTAAGATTTAGCAGAAGTACTGAGTTTTCAGCATCCTCAGCTAGCTGCCATGCTAGGTAAGCAGCTGTAGGACAGATCGGGCAGTGACTCACATGGACACTGCTTTCAGGTCAGAGGAAATAACTCAGGCAGGGCTAGCAGAGCTTCTGTTTTATTCTCAGCAGAGCTTAGACCTCCCTTTGGCTGTTACCAGAATTAGAAAGCTTGTCAGGGATGCTACAGATGATACTTTAGAGTTGGGAGTTAAGATTGAACCTCAACTGCCCCCATTTGTCTTCCTTAAAAGATAGCATCAATTTTAAGGTCAAAAAAGAAACTACTCATTTTAACAGAGGACAAAATAGTGGCGCCCTTTTGGGAATAGGTCAACCTTTTATGGTCATTCTAATTTTACTTCCTGCTGTTTTAGTTCACCCGATAAATTTCCTTCTGGGAATCACCTAGAAGTAGATGCGTAGAAGTTTGAAGGAGAGGAGTTAGGTTTGTTTAGAAGAGAAGGGACATGGATCTCTAAGGGCACATACAACTTGGTAAAAAAATCCAGGCTGAGGATAGATAATAGGAATTTGAGTGCTTTCAATTTGTATTTTCCAAGCTCACTCTCAGTTTATTAAAGTACTGCTTTAAACAATCATTTAAAGACAATTATGTTAACATTTAAAGATGGTTAATTCAGAGGTCTGATGATATTTTTAATAACACAGAAGTTTCATTAACCCAAGATTCTTAATATGTAATAAATTTGTGAATGAATTTAAAAGCTAGTCTCTTCAGATATGTGGATTAATAGACTTTTTTATCATTTGAAGTAGATAAGCTAGTAGAAAATGGCTTTCCTCCTCCTTCTCATGAAAATATAGAACATATCCAAGATATTCTTAGTAAAATAATAAAGCTCTTCATAATTGAACAACATTCAAAATGGTGTATTTGAAATTCAGCCACAATGTATTAAACTGTTTAGAATTACTTACCTGGAGACAGCCCTTATTAGAGCCAAGATATAAGCACTTAAACCACATCCAGCTTTTATAAAAGGCATACATCCTTAAATGTAAAACGGATTGAATAGGATTTGTAGGGATTAACTCGTGTGGTTTCATTACTCTGTTTCTCCTTTCTTTCTGTTCATTCTGTACATTTTAGATGTTTGCTTAGTTTATTTGTACTCTTTTCATTTTATTCATGCTGTCATTCCTCAGTGTCCCCCTAGTACCATGATATCAACCATGATAATATTTATCATACTTGTTGCCTCTGTTTATCTTACTCCTCACTATATTGTGAGCACCTTGAGGGCCAGGACTATGTCCTTCCTGGATCTCCGATATGACTCACTGCAGAAAATAATTATATCGTCCCCTTAAAAAGGGTTCTGTGGCATTTTCTCTTTTTTAAAAAGAGACAGGGCCTTGCTGTGTCACCAAGAGTGGAGTGGTACCATTATAGCTCACTACAGCCTCAAACTCCTGGCCTTGAACAATCTTTCCACGTCAGCCTCCCTGGTAATTGAGACTTCAGGTGGGCACCACCATGCCCTGCTAACTTTTAAATTTTTTTGTAGAAATGGGGTCTTGCTATGTTGCCTTGCTGGTCTCAAACTCCTGTCCTCAAATTATTTTCCTGCCTTGGGCACCCAAGATGCTGGGATTGTAGGCATGAGCCACCACACTTAGCCTACATTTTCTATTTTTCAAATTTAACATATGATCCCTTTTATATGAAAAAGCACATAAGAAGTAAATTTTGTATTTTTCCAGTCACCACCAGCCTTTACATGTGCTGTTAGCCTGACTAACTGCTACATACTGTTTGGTTCTAAACTTAAAGATACTTCCCTCTAGGAATCCTTTGCAATGCCCCTCCCCCACAGGCGAGGACAGTGCCATATATCTGGGACTCTTCTCAATACCCCATCATGGCACTTGGTATATGTACTTCACTCTAATTAATTTTAAAATAGACTCTACCCTCAGTTCATTATAAACTTTGTGAAAGCAGGAACCATAATTGTCTTGCTCATTGTAATATCCATGGGACAGGGTTGCAGAATGTCCTCTCCTGATAACTTTTCTCATCTCTATTCAATGCCTCTAAGACTCAAAGTTTAAATAAAAGCCTCGTGAAATAAATGTTCAAGATTGTCAGCCACTGAATGCTGGAAGTACCTTAAGCTGGGGTTTCCATGATGATGGGATTTGGGATATAGTCCTAGGTTAATGTGTAATCCCAACTTTAATTATGAACCTGAGGAACCTAGCTATCCTAGCATCAATTAAGTCATAGGCTATAACAGTTTTTTTAATAAAGCTGTTTTTGCCACTAAAACTGGAATTGCTTTCTAGGCAACTTCTTTTATAAAAACAAAAGCAAAGAAACAGAAATTGAAATGTTCTCTTTGAGGCACAAAACTAATTTTCTCTAGTTATGTGCTCGATAAGTGATTAAGTCTTTTACATGAACACAGTATTTTTGCTCTTCGTGGGTTTGTTTACCATCAGAATCTTAGTTGAGAAATGATTTTGAAAATAGTTCTATTTCATACATGGTATAAGTGAAACAAGGCATAAGGCCCACTCTGCATGAATTTACCATTGGTTCCTTACTTTAATCCTTAGACTCCTAGAATTGAACTATAAAACTAGAATAAAATTTAGAGGTCATCACATAATGTGAGAGTTTCTAAAAAGCTCTCCATGGAAGCACCCAGCTCTCCAGAGTCACTGCAGGGGCCACCACAATGAAGGGAGGATGGGGAAGGGCACACAGCGATACGATTTGAGCCTGTAATCCTGCTTCACCCGGAACAGTGTTGCTGTAATTCATTATAAGATCTTAAGGGAAAGGGAGAGCTTAGTGCTTTAAAAAAGTGATTGATTAGACTGACTGATGGAGAGAACACTGGAGCCTACTGAAGGTACACTTACCAGTAGCTGAGCTACTTTGTAGGCCTCTTTGAGACCTGATCCTCCATCCAGTCCTGTTCCGCTGTGTCACATTGCCTACTCTGAAAGCTTGTTCTCTCTTCACCTTCAGCTTCCAGAGCTAAGCTCAGCATGATCAACACCATGTCAAAAATCCGTGGCCAGGAGAAGGGGCCAGGCTATCCCCAGGCGGAGGCGCTGCTGGCGGAGGCCATGCTCAAATTTGGAAGAGAGCTTGGAGATGATTGCAACTTTGGTAACAAGTGCTTCCTCACATTGTAATTGTTTCATTTTCCATGGGGATTTTGGTGCTGGTAAGAAATTCTGTAGAAATGGGATAAATCATTTTATATTTTGGTTTTCAATTTTAGATCTTATATTCATGGGCCAAAAACTTGTTTTCAGAATTATTTCGTTCGCTCTAATGTGTTTATCTTATAAGCTTTCTTCCCCCCACCGCTGCCCCCCATAAGACCTCAGTCTTTGCAACAGCTTTAATTGACGTATCCAGATGCCTCCTCGGCACTTTCTGTTGGGTATTTCTGGCAGTCATTGAGTATTGAAGCAGAGTGAGCAGACACAGGCAGCATGATTCAAAGCCCTGCTTCATGGGCTTTTTCGTAGATCTTTGTTCACTTGTATATGGTACCTAGTTTTACTGCCCAAGGTGAAACATGATTTATTCCTTCACCCTGTCTCCCCCAACACTCAGCTACCACACCCAACATCTTCTTGTTTCACCCCCTTGTGATGTGGGATCTCCTTCCTGGTTGAACCCTGCTATTTCTGGTACTTACTTCTGCTAAACAGATTGGCCTTAAGCTAGTCGCGTATTAGGGAAAACTGGTACTTACAAGAGAGGGCAGGGAGCTTCCTAAATTGCTTTATAAGGGAAAAAGTAATTGTTAAATTCTTGATGAGAGGTATTTACCCTCTTAGGGTGCATTGAGTCTGTTGCTGGGAGTGAACTGAAGATAGCTGTTCTCCCTTGTCTGTTGTCTTTAGAAGACAAGTGGTAATCCTTTGGGTTTTCATCTGTGAAGGGCCGTGTTATTGCGAGTGCATTTCATCTTTATTCTGTAAGATGAAAGAGCTTTGTTCTCTCCTAGGCCCAGCGCTTGGTGAGGTCGGGGAGGCCATGCGGGAACTGTCGGAAGTCAAAGACTCTTTGGACATAGAAGTGAAGCAGAACTTCATTGACCCTCTTCAGAATCTTCATGACAAAGATCTTAGGGAAATTCAAGTATGTACAATGAGTCTTCTGGAAAGTGGGCAGTTGAAATCATACAGATGCAGATGCCTTTTTTCTGTAGAAAACATTTTTTAGCTTACCCTGCATGTTGTCAGCTCTGGGCACGTTAATTACAAAACAACCCAGTAAGACAAAATGAGAGGAACTAGAAATGTGATACTTTTCAGCCTGTTATGACTGTGCCACTCATGAGGGGTGTCTCTGACTTCTCTATGTTTGATTTTCAGATTGAATAGTTTTTTTCAGACCTTTTCTCCAGAGGATATTATTATTTCCCTGAGAATACAGTTTTATTAATTATTCTATGGCGTGCTGGGCTGATTTCATCCACTAAAATGTTAGTTGTACTAGTTGTTAGCTTAAATAGTTATTCTATCACTCTATAAGCACATTTAAAAATTTTTTTATTTTTTTCCAAGTCCAGAAATTAGATGCATGCATATGTTTTTATATTAATATTTTCATAATGGCTGTTAGGATTGAGGAAGAATACCAACTAGCTTCTTTCTAAAACATGTAGAGCGGTTAAGCTATTTATAATAAATAAAGTTCATACGTCTTTGAGTGTGGAATGTTTGCTTACTTTTTTTTATCTAACAAATATTTGTTGAGCTTTTTTGAAACTTGGTTGGGTGTAAAATGGATTGCCATAACTTGAACTAAGGCCTCCTCCTTCTCCTTATTCTAGCTTAAATCTCCTTTAACAGTACCATTTGCTCAAGATTATAGAGTTAGTAAGTGACAGACTCACCCTAAATCCAAAATGTAACTCTGACTCCAGTGCTGTACCCCGTAACTGACTGTAAGTTCAAATGTTTAAAAAATAAGGTTCCTTCCAAATGAGCATTTAGTTTGGATCAAGGTATGGACTGGGGGGCAGGGGATGCAGTGTGAGGGAAGGTCTAGAATATTTTTCGTCCTCCTTTCCTTTTCATTTGTTTTTAGCCACTCCCTACTTTGTTTTCATTTCCTTTCATTCTGCTCCATACATACCTAGTAATAAGGGAAAATCCAGGATTTTCCTTCATCCATTAGTAGTGAAAGACTAGCTATCAGGGAAAAAAAAAATACTTTTTAGCTTTGAAAAACTACCTTGCTACCTGGTCACTAGAGATGATGGGTGGAGCCTGGGCAGCCATCTGCTTGGGATGGTGCAAGGAGGGGATTGAAGCTTGGCATGGAGCATTAGGTATAATCCCTTTGAAGGTCCCTTCCAAGTGAGATTTTGTTCTTGAGCTCAATTATATGTCAAGTTGGAGGCTTACACTAAATCACTGGTTCCCTGAAAGCTGCATCAGTCAGGTGGGGCAAGTGTTAAGATGTAGATTTCTAGGCCCCAGCCCTAGATATTGATTCAAGAGATCAGGAATCCAAATTTGTAATAAGCAGCCTAGGTGATTCTAATAGACCGGATGATTTGAAAAGCAAGAATGCGATTTCTGTCTCACTTAATTTCAAGGAAAGTGTTTTTCCTCTGGCTTCTCATGAGATACCATTTCTCTTGAAGACAGGGCCTGTGGGGCCTGTGAGTGTGTCCTTTCAGGGCATGTGCATTCCTTCTCTGTTTCTGTCATGGGCTGGAAAGGCTTAGTCCAGCTTGGCTTTGGCCTGGCAAGGCCAGAAAATAAAGGGCACTGATACTTCCTACAATTTATCTTTTATTCTTAATTATTTTAAAAGATATTCTCCTGTATTTAACCTTTGAAAGCATTGGCCCCATTGATGCATGTTTCCTTATTTCTCTGGTGATGTTGTATTTTAAAACTTAGCCTACCTTAATTTGGAAGTTAATGGATGTGATGGAGAAGTGAGCTCAAATAAGCCTTTTCCATAAGCCCTTTCAAAGCCTATTCCTGCCCTTGACTTTTTTAGCATCATCTAAAGAAGTTGGAGGGTCGACGCCTGGATTTTGATTATAAGAAGAAACGACAAGGCAAGATTCCAGATGAAGAGCTTCGTCAAGCTCTAGAGAAATTTGATGAGTCTAAGGAAATTGCTGAGTCAAGCATGTTCAATCTCTTGGAGATGGATGTAAGTGACTCTCCTGTGGTTTTCAATTTAATCTTATCATCAAGGCACATTAATGTGTTAAAGGGCATAATCCTTAAAAGCATTAATATCTGATTACACTGTGTGATAAGAACTTCAGTAGATAGTTATTTATTTTAAATAATTGTAAGTGATAAAGTAGACTGAGAAATAGAAAAGTTTTTTTCTGCATCCTGTAGTTTGATTTAACTAGATTCTTGTCTGCTAGTGAATCTTAAAGTACAGATGCTCCTTAACTTACGATGGGGTTAAAATCTTGAATATATCGTGTAATTTATTGAATAGTGAGTTAAAAGTAAAAAAACAGAATGGTTAGGGGTACTTGAAGTATGGTTTCTACTGAGCGCATATCAGTTTTGCACCATCGTAAAGCCTACAAATCGTTCGGTCAGGGACCCTCTCACTTATCGATAGTGGGAAGATAAAGGATATTTCTGATGATCTATGTATAAATTCACTAGAGGCTTGAGAACTCAGTTGTGGAGCACGAGGCATCAGTAGTACAAGTAGTGCAAGTCAGTAGTGCAAGTCCCAGAGTCCAAAGGCCAGAAAGCCTATAGCTGTGACATCCAAAGACAGGAGCGTATGGGTGTCCCTTCCTTAGAAGAGAGAGAACAAACTTGCCTTTCCTCTGCTTTTTGTTCTGTGTGGGTCCACAGCTGAGTGGATGGTGTCCACCCCCATAGGGAAGGGCAGCTCTTCCTTAGTTAGTCTACTGAGTGAATGCCAGTCTTCTCTGAAAACACCCTACCAAACACACCCAGAAACAATGCTTTACCTGCTCTCTGGAGATCCCTTAATCTAGTCAAGCTATCACCTAAAATTAACCATCACGTTGCCTGCTTGCCTTACTCCTGACTGTGGCACAGGAGGCATGTTGAACATATCCAGACTTTCCCCCCACCTGGAAACAGCGTAGGTTTGTTTATGTAAAACAACTTGTGCCCACCTAACTCCTCGAGAGGAATACTGTGGGCCTGAGGGGTGACCCAAATCACAATGCTCCTTCCCTGCAACACAGCACCCTTCCCCATCCCCAGATTCATGGGACAACACTGCCTCTGTTGACTTGGAGGCTGCTGCCTAGCTGGATCGTAATGTGAAACGTAAAATCAAGAGAAATCAAGCTTAGAATATTAGAGCAGGAATGCATGCAAGATGTCACTTGATTCAGCCCTTTTACATTATAGAGGAGGCTCAGAGAGCACAGAATATTTTTCTGTCATACCATGTCGCCTCTCCGGGTACATTATGTGAGATATTGTCACATTTTTATTAACAGTACCAATATTAACAGCATGAAAAGTATAGGGAACAAAGAGTCCTTTGGCCAGCATACCTTCTTTTCTATATCGATAAAAGAAGTCAAATCCCAAATACAAGATTGTAGCTAGGCATGAGACTCTTTAGAGCTTTATGGTCTTCCTGAGGGTTACCAGTGTTGCTTCTCCTCATGGTACTGATATGCATGATTCTAAGCATAAGGTTGCTTTCTTTTATCCTTGATGGATTTGAAACCTGCTGACCTACCTATCTTAATTGGCTTATCACACAGTCATCAGCACCACCAAACAGGGTCTGTGTGTTGAGTGCAACCTGTTGTATGTATGAAACAGTAGTGGCTGTTTAAGGATGGTAACATGGAAACTAAGGCATGATTTTCCCATTGATCTGCAGATTGAACAAGTGAGCCAGCTTTCTGCACTTGTGCAAGCTCAGCTGGAATACCACAAGCAGGCAGTCCAGATCCTGCAGCAAGTCACGGTCAGACTGGAAGAAAGGTATTCTACAGTTCCCTGCATTTCATATTTGCATTTCATTGCTATAAAATGATATATACAGAAATGGAAATCATAAAATACATTTGGAGACAAACATCTGCCAGAATTCCTGCTTATCCTAAACAGGCACCTTGTGGATTGTTTTGATTTTGTTTTTTCTTGTGCTTTGTTTGTTGAATCTAATTTTCTGTTTATGAGAGGTCGATACTTGGGTTGTATTTTGGTTGCCACAGGTGGGACACCAGGATGCTACTGCTGATAATGGATGCTGGATACATATCATTATCAATCTTATAACAGCCCTATAACCTAAGTATTTTTAGCCTCGACTAACAGATGAGTAAACTGAGGCTAAGAGAGGTGAAGTAACTAGCCCAGGGTCACTCAGTGGTACGAGTGGAGTTCACAGCCAACCATAACCTGTTTGAAAGGCTGTTTCTTTTCACATCTTGTGTTTCTCTGAATGGTGGTCAAGTCCACTGCCATCAGAGAGAGCCGCTTTCACCTTGTTCGATGTACCTCACAGCAGGGCTGTGGTAGTAGGAAACTACCGTGTGAATGTGGCTCCGTGGAGTTGTGGGGCACAGCCTGTGTGGCTGTATACCAGTGGTCCTGTGTTATAATATAATATGTGTTATTTTAATTCAGCCAGATCAAACAGGGTGATTTTGCTGAACACGTATACCTCAAAGGGTCACCTCAGCAGGCTTTTTTCTTAGGCCACATGGCCAGATTAGACTCTCATAGCTGATCACGTGGCTGCCTGCATGATGAAGACCCCAATCATACGATTCCACGCCATTGAAAACATCACCTATTTTCATTGTTTTCCCTCAAGCTGATCTCATTTCAGCATCTTCTTAGATTCGTGGTCTAACTGAGCATTTTCCTTCAGCGCACCCTTGTGGAAACTTATGTAACACTGAAGCCTCCAGAAAGGTTTTAAAACCATATACTTCAAAATACTAAAGAAATATTATGTGTCTTTGTAATGTCTCTTGAGCATGAAGGGAGCACTTTCCTTTCTTTCCTCTGAAACATGTTCAAAGTCAGTATCATTCTACGGTTACCATACCCTAAACCCTCACCCTCCCTTGCAAATCTCTTACATACTTTGTTTATTGAATACCTGAAACCATGGGAATTATTTAGGGGTGTGTAGAAGACAATTATTGGCCATACCTTTCCAATTTCTTTCTGTCTTCCCTCTTTCCTTTCCTCTTCCCTATATCTCAAACTGCTCATTCTTCTCACAGCACACAGTGTATTTCCTCCTTCCCTCTATCCAAATCTTCTCATGTTCTGAATGGAATAGCTCCCTTTCACATTTTCATCTGGAAACAACTCCTGTGTATCTTTTAGTTCTTTCCTTAAACCTCCTCCACCTTCCTTATGGAGAGGTAGACTCCTTCCCACCCTCACCCCCAACTACACCCCTGTGTTCCTGTGGCACTTTGTAGCTATCTGTGACAGTGCTTACTAAAACTTATGGTCATCAGTTGTTTGTGTTCTGTCTCCCTTACAGACCATAATCTGTTTGCGTCTTTTTTAAAACTGAAAAAATTGTGGGTACATAGGTGTATATATTTATGGGATACATGAGGTGTTTTCATACAGGCATGCAGTGCATAAGAATATCATGGGGAATGTGGTATGCATCCCCTCAAGCATTTCGCTTTTGTGTACAAGAACTGTGTTTTAATTCATTTCTGTGTTCCTGGTACCTAGCACAGTGCATATTTGGATAAAGGACTCTGAATAAATGAGAGAGGAAGTCAGGGATTGAGAGAGAGAGTGAAGACAGTGAGGACATGGCCCCATAAAGGGGCATCACCAAAATCTCAGACATGCACACACAAGAAAACTGAGGGTCCTTGTTTGATTTCCCACACTTCATCATGGTAGCATGGTGGGTGACCCAAACATTTCCTGAATCTTTATATTTCCTTTTGTTTTTACTTAACTGGCCACATAACCTTTCCCACCTCTTTTCTTTTTCCTGCAGAATAAGACAGGCCTCAGCTCAGCCTAGAAGGGAATATCAACCTAAACCACGAATGAGCCTGGAGTTTCCAACTGGAGACAGTACTCAGCCCAATGGGGGCCTCTCCCACACAGGCACTCCCAAGCCTTCAGGTAAGGAGCTGAGACGGCAGATCCTATTGCATAGGCCTTGGCATATCCATTGGCACTCTTCCAGAAACTTTAGGAATAATCCAATCTGGCTGCATAGGAAATATGCAGTAATAGATTTCTTATGGAGTGGTTTGTCAGGTAGAAACTGTGTTAAAGGAATCCTTTTGTCTTTTTTCATTTACCTTTTCTTTCCTTCCTTTTAATTCTGTATAAAACTTTATTTGTATATCCCTTTCTCTCTCAATCATCAGCACACATGAACACATTTTATTTTGACCCTCCTTTGTGGTCGTAAATTGCCTTTCCTTGTCAGTTTGGTCTGCGTGTGTCATCTTTTCTCCTTCCTGTTCCCTCTGAATCCAGCCTGTATGACAATGAATGCCCCTGGACAGTGTGTCCCCATATGCATTCACATAGAGCCCACAGACGGCAAGCGGCTCCAGAAATGTGCTGATGAGCTGGATTTCTTGAGTCACAGAAGCATATGGTTAAATATATTTGCAGAAGATATTTTGAAACTCGACACTTGCTGGGTTTTCTTTCCCGTGCCTCACCTCTGATCACTTTATCATGCTGTGGCACTGGGGTTGATATAATAAAAGCTAGATGATATTTTATCTCAGGAATATCGATGCATACCTAATAGAGCATTCTTTTCCTTGTCACGCTTGCTCTCCACTCCCTACATGCAGATTACACAACAGCCTGTGCTGGAGACATTTTCAACCTCCACATTTGCTTGTTTGAAGTGGGAACTGTCTTATACTGGATGTGGATGTTAGAGATAGACAGCTTTCTTTTATTTTTCCTATATCCCCAGTGCTTGATGTTCTACGGTAGAAAACTGTTTGTAAGATGCTCTCAGTTATTAAGAAAAAAAATAAGATCTGAGCCAGCAGGTGGCGCTCTCTGCCCTTTGTGCTCAGCACTTCTGGGCATGGCATAAGCAGCTGTGGCTACTGATGCTGGCCACCAGGACTAGTCATAGAAATTGTGTATAGCTGTGCTTCTCCCTGCCTGCAGACCAGCCATATATTTCACTTTTCATCTGGAGACTCAGTCATTTGCTTCTTTCTCTAAATCATTGTTTCCTTTCCAGCCACCTAGATGGCATGGGAGCTGTGTGCACTTGTCTGAGTCTGTATCTACATATGTATGCATCTAATACTAATGCAGTGGGTCATTTGGAATAGATCCCTCTTAAGATATGATTTCATCCTTCATTATTTTACTCGAGGTAGAGTACATTATTTTTGTATGCCGTAGCTCCAGTGCACTGCCTATATTTATATATGCAACAGTTTACCAAGTATAAATTATATAATTTTTTTTACATAATCTCATTTAGTAGCCACAGTAGTAATGTGAAGTAAGTCCTACTGTTACATCCAATTTCAGACAGTGAAACTGAGAGTGAAGTGCCCTGTGTAAGGTCACAGAAAGTAAAAACTTGAACTCAGTGTTTTATATTATTCTGTTGTTACCACGTTACAGCAGTTTTCCAGAGGCTGGGATTATCATTTTAAACAGCGATAACCAAACTATTACTCAAAAACATTCTCCATGTAATTAACCATACTTTTTCAAATATGCAAAGATTTTAAAGTGCTCACATGAGACAATTCAGGCCATGCTGTGTTATTAACCTACATCATTATATTCTTTTTAAGTCATTGTCCCTCCTATTTCTGGGCATTATCACAAAGGCAAACTTTAACGAAATCTGTTGTATGTATCACAAGAATAGTTGTGACCGTTTTTCATACTGGAAACAGAAACAGGAATATACAGCAACTTCCAAAGGTCCGAGAAAGCTTCTGAGGACTGGTAGAGGGCAAGATGCCCAATGAGTGGACACTGAGGTCCAGTAGCAAGAAGAAGCTTCAACAGGAAGAGGAATGAGGGAGGAAAGACGGGGAGCAGCAAGCCAGGTGGGTGCAGCAGGCAGCAGATTCTGTGAGTTAAATACCCCTTATCCTTGTGTGTTCTTCTTTTCTCTCCTGCTCTTACTCCCAGGTGTCCAAATGGATCAGCCCTGCTGCCGAGCTCTGTACGACTTTGAACCTGAAAATGAAGGGGAGTTGGGATTTAAAGAGGGCGATATCATCACACTGACTAACCAAATTGATGAGAACTGGTATGAGGGGATGCTGCATGGCCATTCAGGCTTCTTCCCCATCAATTATGTGGAAATTCTGGTTGCCCTGCCCCATTAGGATGTTATGCTGGCTGGCTCACCTCCTCTTGACTCAGATAGTTACGGTTAACCACTGCTTTGGTAATGCTGCTTATAACACATCCCAAGTGCAGGCCGCAGTGGTCCACGTCATCCAGCCCCACCAAGTGTATTTGGTTGACTTGTGGGCTCCCACAGGAGTCATGGTGATGGATGATATCCTCTTAGCCTGGTGGGCATGGCATGTGCTTTTTAAAACATCATCTGAGACCAGCCAGTAGTCACAGAACTGCTGTTTACACAGTTCTCAGGAGGCTGTGGTTTCTTAGAATATGACCACGAGCCACATCACAGAAAAACCTTCCCACCGAAGATATTGTCTATCACCCCAGGGGGGCATCTGAAGGTCTTTTTGCATTTCTCCATGCAAAGAGGAGAAAGCTTTTGCTTTCACACTGTCCCTTCCCAAATATGTGAGTCATGGAATTGTCAAAGTAAGCCTTCCCTCACCAGCAAATTGTCTCCTGATCTGAATGAATTTGTCTCTTAATGCATCCCTAGAAAAGTGTTAATTGTGGGTTCAAAGCATTCTCTGCAAACAGGCATCTCAGCTCTTCACACTTATGGCTATTTCTGAGGTATAGCCAGTTTTCTTCCCTCCTTGCTACTAAAGCCAGAGCGGTAATTCCAAATTATTTTTCAGTAAGACAGTTAATCAGCATTATTGTGAGAGAGGCTGAAAAGAAATTCTCCATTATGAGGAAATGGGAAGAAATCTGGTATCCAAGCTTAAATTTCTTGGTGTACAGAAACTCTGTATGTATTTAGGCTATTTCTGAAGGGCACAGGGAAGGGGGAACAAATCTCTTCAGTTATATTTGTGAATTACATGTTTCATGAATCCATTTGGCACAGAGACACGAGGAGGAAAACACTAGTAACCATCTTTCCACTAGTTCATAGACTGAGAAACAGTAAATACCTTTCCTTTCCACTTTTACCCTGTGTTCTTTGAACATCATTTGTGCAGATTCTGCCCTCAATGAGGACCAAATAAAGATGATTTTTGTGCTTAGCAGTTTAAGGTATATGGCTGCATATGCAAAACTCTTTCCCAATTCAGTCGCTACTTTTACTTCTGCCCCTTCTATCCATAATCTTCATTTTGTGTATACAGTGCTGTGTGTAAGCTTATCAGTGTTTTTTTGTTTTTGTTTTTGTTTTGTATCAGTCATGAAAGTCCTGTTAGGTATCCAGAGTTCTATTTATCTAGCTGTACAGACTCTTTCAGAGGTTTAACGTGCTGCTTCCGATGTGCCACCTGCAGTAGCGGATCATGTGGAGTGAAAGGCAAATCTTACTGCTTAATGTATAAACTCTCACCACAGGAAGCATCGCTGTTTCCAATAAATATTGCTGAAGACAGAACCAAAGGCTCTGCTCCTTCATTTTGTGTCAGTTCTTTGGGTCTAACAATGGGTGGATGGGGGCTGGTTTCAGTCTCCATTGCTTTCTCATGCAGCCAAACAAGACCTGGTTCCAACTTCATATCTATCTCTTTATATGTAGGAAAAGTTTCAGCAGCAAGGATGTAGCTAGCCTGGACATTGGGATCTTCCTGGTAACCCCAGGAAGGAGGAGAATTTGGGAGAGAAGAAAGTAAGGAGAATTTCGTCTCATAGATGTTAAATGATATATTGTTAAAAGTGATATCATCTGAAGAATATAATGTTAGGAAGGGGAAATAAAATATATCTCTTCAACTAGCCTTTTATTTTATTTCATAATTGAAGATAAAGAAATAGACCTGGAAATATAGTTTGATCGAAAGCCAGTATTAGGCCAGGTGCAGTGGCTTACACCTGTAATCCCAGCACTTTGAGAGGCCAAGGCAGGTGGATCATCTGAGGTCAGGAGTTTGAGACCAGCCTGGCCAACATGGAAAAATCTTGTCTCTGCTAAAAATACAAAACTTAGCTGGGTGTGGTGGCGCATGCCTGTAATCCCAGCTACTCAGAAGGCTGAGACACGAGAATCACTTGAACCTGGGAGGCAGAGGTTGCAGTGAGCCAAGATCATGCCATTGCACTCCAGTCTGTGTGACAGAGTGAGACGTTGCCTCCAAAAAACAAAACAGGCCGGGCGCGGTGGCTCAAGCCTGTAATCCCAGCACTTTGGGAGGCCGAAACGGGCGGATCACTAGGTCAGGAGATCGAGACCATCCTGGCTAACACGGTGAAACCCCGTCTCTACTAAAAAATACAAAAAACTAGCTGGGCGAGGTGGCGGGCGCCTGTAGTCCCAGCTACTCAGGAGGCTGAGACAGGAGAATGGCCTGAACCCGGGAGGCGGAGCTTGAAGTGAGCTGAGATCCGGCCACTGCACTCCAGCCTGGGCGACAGAGCGAGACTCCGTCTCAAAAAACACAAACAAACAAACCAAAAAAACCCAGTATTCTCTTGATGTATATGTTTGGGTGTGGGTGGGAATAGGGGAGCAGCAGGGCACACAGAATATGTATTTTCTGAATTCCCAAGAAAATGAACATGTTCTTTGTGTATTAGGGGCCATTTCTATTATTTTGTGAAGAGGCCAATAGTCCAGATTTTCTAATCTAACATGAATAGTTTTGTAATCAAATATACTAAGTTTCTATTAGTCCATTTTCATACTGCCATGAATAAATACCCGAGACTGAGTAATTTATAAAAGAAGAGATTTAATGGACTTGCAGTTCCACATGGCTGGGGAGGCCTCACAATCACGGCAGAAGATGAAGGAGGAACAAAGATACGTCTTATGTGGTAGCAGGCAAGAGAGCATGTGCAGGGAAATTGCCTTTTATAAAACCATCAGATCTCATGAGACTTATTCACTATCACGAGAACAGCATGGGAAAGACCCACCCCCATGATTCAATTACCAATTAGCTCCCACCCAGTCCTTCCCACAACGTGGGGATTATGGGAACTACAGTTGAAGATGAGATTTGGGTGGAGACCCAGCCAAACCATATCAAAGTTCTATATGTGAACTAGTCTAACATGAAAATGTTTTTTTCTAGCTGTATGAGTTCTAGAGTATTACAGATCAATTCTCTAAAGCAATTTTAAGAAATACTAATGATATTGTGACTATAGAAAATCATAAAGAATCCAAAGATAAACTATTAGAAAAATCAGTGAATTTAATAGGATCACAAGATATGAGGAATATACAAAAATTTTATTTTGTTTCTATATATCAATAGCAATCAGAAAAAATGCAGTTTAAAAAAATGTCATTCACAAAGGCATCAAAAACCAAAACCGGCTGGACGCGGTGGCTCACGCCTGTAGTCCCAGCACTTCGGGAGGCTGAGGCGGGCGGATCACGAGGTCGGGAGATCGAGACTATCCTGGCTAACATGGTGAAACCCCGTCCCTACTAAAAATACAAAAAATTACCCGGGTGTGGTGGTGGGTGCCTGTCAACCCAGCTACTTGGGAGGCTAAGGTAGAAGAATGACGTGAACCCAGGAGGCGGAGCTTGCAGTGAGCCAAGATTGCACCACTGCACTCCAGCCTGGGAGACAGTGAGACTCCGTCTTAAAAAAAAAAAAAAAAAAAAAAAATATATATATATATATATATATACACACACACACACACACACACCATAGATATAGATCTAGCAAGATTATGCATGATCTCTGTAGAAAATCATGGAACATATCTGAGAAAGTAATTGAAAGACATTCTGTGTTTTTAGATTGGAAAACCCAGTCTTGTATCATATTCCCCCAAATCTAGCTGTTAAAAAAGTGCAATTTCAAACAAAAAATGCAGGAAGTTTGTTTCCACGTGTTTGAGAATTGACAAGTTCAACTTTTAAGCCTGTCATAAAAATTTTTGTGGAAAAGCAAAAAGATGTTTTTTTTCTCAAAGAAGAACAAAGTTGGAGGACTAACTCTTTCTAGATATAAAACATTAAAAAGTTACAGTAATTAAGGTAGTATGGTTTTGATACAAAGAATAGATGGTCTATACAGAACAGCGAGTCCAGAAAGAGACATAGATGCATTCGACCATATTTGAAGGAAAAGCATTCCATTATGTTTAATGTGATGCACTCATATCAACGGAACCTTTTTAATATTAGTTCCATAACCCCAAAGTGAAAACAGCAAGACCTTGCACCAAATACAGTAATCTCACTATGAGTCAATGTCACATGAAACAAGTGTCGTGACCACAGATTCCAGGAAGAACTTACTCTTGATTTAAGGAAGTCTTTTGGAGACCATTACTAATGTACTCACCAGATACAGGACTGTTAATTCCTTATTTTTATTGAAGTATAGTTAATACCTTAGTACAAAACCTTACGTATGGAAATTACTCAGTGGACCACCACTAGAAGTTGAACTTACCAGAAAACACTTGTTCTTCTAAGTCAGATCATTGGAACAAACTGCCTGAAGTGGAAACAGAAACAAAATCAAACTGAACTAAAATGAATAATAAATTCAGTGGGGCAATCGTTTCGTTTCTTTTTCTAATAGGTCTACTAGGTTTAATAGGTCTTAAAGAGAAAGCTCTAGGAGTATAGTTACTTTCACATAGTTTCTCTTTGCCATAAATCAGTAGATGATGAGAATGATATGACCTAGAATGGAGATTTCCCTGGGGCTGTGTATAGTACACAAAATACTCTGGAACATGCCAAGTCCTGCATACATTATTTAGGAAATTTAGCCCAACACTTTATTTTCAAGATAGCTTCTAGTGTTCTGGATGAAACTATTAATGTGTGGGCACTTTTATTTTCTTTCATTGAGATTCCAGGAAACAGTATGTGGGCACTTTTAAAGCCTGTGTTTCATTAGCCAGAATTAGAACTACTGCTAAACATGCAGACTGCCTTCCATCCCACGGGGATGGGGAGGTGATGAAGGAGGGACGTTATGCTGAAGAAGGAGGCAGACAGCTGTCATTAGAACTCTGGCTAATGGTTGGTGGAAGAGACTTAGAGTGCTGCAAGGCCATACCAGCAATTTCTAGGCCCAGCTTTATGGGATCTAGCTATGAGCCCCTTGGTTAAAGGGGCTGTCAAGGAAAACAACAAAGCTATTTTTTAAGGACCCATTGAATGCTAACCGCTGACAGGTCAGGCAGTTGAATGTTACTCTGCTATCGCGTATGCCTAAGTGACGGCAGCCTTCCACTTAGGGCAAGAGACAACTGTGATTCCTGACAGCAGGGGAGTAGGCTGTCAGCTTTGGGAGCAAAAGAATGGAGTACAGCATCTCACTACCACTTTCTTGAAAAGGAAACTGAATATGATGATTTGCTAGTCTGGGAAAAGACCAAAGAATCCATTTTTAAAAAGCTCTGTCGGTGATTTTTATGTGCGTCCCTTATCAAAACATCTGCCTCCAGGACTCATGGAGATAAGAGTCCAGGTGACTCTTATTATCAGGTAATAAGATAACTGTACAAATTGGATTTCCAGGTTCTCATTACAGCTGCTCAGAATCAGAACTGCCCATAGAGGGACCCCTAGCAAGTGGTATTTACCGCTGAAAAATTTAGGAAAAAATCTACAGGGCATCTAAAACTGATATGCACCAGAATCACCCGGGTCTTGTTAAAACATGCCTGGCCTCCATCTCCAGATGTTCTCATTCAGTATGTCTTTAAGTGGGGCCTAAGAATGTGCATTTCTAACAAGCTCCATAGAGATGTTGCCAGTCCCTGGACCACACTTGAAGTAGTGCTGCTCTACCAAATAAACTTAGGAAGAGCCAACTGTTGGCCCATTCAGGCAAGTTTGGGGAGCTCTTGTGTGTATGATAACTTTTTAAATAAGCAGCCAACTGCTCACTGACTTTCTTATCTACTGTTTTTGGTTTAAGACATTCGCATTTTTTTTAAAATTTATTTATTATTATTATACTTTAAGTTGTAGGGTACATGTGCATAACGTGCAGGTTTGTTACATATGTATACTTGTGCCATATTGGTGTGCTGCACCCATCAACTCCTCATTTACATCAGGTATAACTCCCAATGCAATCCCTCCCCCCTCCCCCCTCCCCATGATAGGCCCGGTGTGTGATGTTCCCCTTCCTGAGTCCAAGTGATCTCATTGTTCAGTTCCCACCTATGAGTGAGAACATGCAGTGTTTGGTTTTCTGTTCTTGTGATAGTTTGCTAAGAATGATGGTTTCCAGCTGCATCCATGTCCCTACAAAGGACACAAACTCATCCTTTTTGATGGCTGCATAGTATTCCATGGTGTGTATGTGCCACATTTTCTTAATCCACATGACATGGTGATCATCTGTATGGATAGTGCCATAAATACTGCATGTGCTTAGCAGCAAATAATTGATATACCAAGGTGCTTATGTACATCTAGTTGTTGAGAATGCCATACTGTTCATA